AGAAAGGCAAAGGACAGAAAGTCGTCAACAATAACAGCAGAGTCAATCAAAATATGATGGGAGGCAGCAGCAGTCAAAACATGAGATCGCAGTTACAACACTAATCAGCGGGAAGGTTAGGTTTAAGGCTCCAAGTTCACTACAGTATATTCTCCCACGGGACAGTGGATTAAAGCGGTGGTTCGTGAATTTGCTGAGATTGGGATTGTGAGTTCAATCTCTGTGTGGTGATTGTGAGTTCAAGTGTGTACTTGGACACATGAAATGGGCGAGCAAATACTGCCCAGTAGTAAAAATAAGAACTAGACAAGATATCCCTAGACATGGACAGTAAAACAAGAACAGTCTATCCCCATAGATAAATAAAAGGTTCAGTTCAGAATTTCCTGAGGAAGGCTGGAGAGCACAACGGCCGAAACGTTAACAACAACAATGATGAGGACAATAGTCCGAATATAAATAGATTAAAAATGTACTTTTTACTATTATTTATGGGTTTATAAAATGTAGTATTGATTATAAGCATATAAGAATCTGATATTAATTAGTGTTTTTAAAGTGTACTATATATAAGTTAAGAAATGTTATTAATTATAAGAATTAATTATTAATTATAGGTTTATAATTTTTTTTTGACTTATTTTGTATTTATAAAAATCCGGTGCTAATTAAAGACTTTGGAAGAACTTTTTATTACTTATAGTTTTTATAAAAATCCAGTATTAATTTTCGGTTTCTAAGATTCAGGTAATCCTGAATCTTAGAATTTTATATGTTTCAAATTTTTATGTTTCAAAGCCATTCTGTATTAATTATAATTTTATAAAAAATGCTGAATTAATTATAGTTTTATAAAGCAAACGCGATAATAATTATAAGTTTCTCTCTATAACCCATTAATTTCAATAGTTCCAAAAATTAGATGGCAGACATGAAAGTGTTAAAGACATTACTGTTCTGATGACAGTCAATAAAACATGTTTGTCTCTTTAAAATCTCTTAAAAATGGGAACATCCACACTTTTAATTGGATGTCTACCTACTAAAGGGAGGATGTCAATAAGCGACATTATTTTGTCTGTGGGTATTCCAACAATCCTGGCAGCTAGAATTAATTTCCACAATTCGATGAATTATTCAAACTGATCGATGTGGAGAATGTGGTTATGGCAAGGACAATAAATACCCAGTGTCGTAATGGAAGGAATATTTTAACACCACCTAGTGGCAGAATTTGTCTAAAGCGATTAATATTTAATAAAAATATTGTTCCTGTCTGAATTTCTGGTATGAGGAGTTATCATTATTTACCCTATTTACATTCGGACTATTGTCCTCATCTTTGTTGTTGTTGGCACAACGTTTCGGCCTTCATCAGGCGTATATCGATCCGGGCAATCTACGGGGATATCCTAACTGAACCATTTATTTAATCTAAGGTGGCAGTGGAACGAGAAACGTCTATCTCCATAAAGGGTTCAGTATGGAAACCCTCGTAGGTTACCCAGATCGATATACAACTGATGAAGGCCGAAGATTAAAACAGCCGAAATGTTGTGATAACAACAACAAAGAAGAAGATAATAATCAGGGTTTTAATAATAGAATAAATAATAAATAAGAATAGTGTCACCAGGTCTGACTCCGCCAAAAACTATGATTATGAAAAGATCGCTTCTCCAAAACATATTGTAAAGTGACATATATACATATATGTATATTTCTATATACAACTTTTTTGGTACAATATAATATCAAGATACGTCTCCTAAATGAGTAAATGGCAAACATGGACAAACGGGCTCCCAAAAAGATGTAATGTCAAAAGGATGTTCAATTTTTTCAAATCACAGCTGTTTTTCTAACTACCTTCGCTATTCGGCAATGTTTATTGTTTTAAAAGACGATGATTAGAATTGTAATAAAAACTAAAGATATGACGAAAGGGAATTTATGCATTTTTTGTTCTTGAGAGTTTAAAACAAAAAATATTAAACACTATTTATTTATTAGATTGTTTATTTGCAAAAATAATTTTATATTTACAACATTCTAAAATCTAAAACAATTAAAACGATTGCAATGAAATATTTTTCATTTACCAATTTGTAAAAAAAGCAAATGAGAAAATAACTTTTTATTCATAAATTTATAAACATTTACTAAATCATTAAAATTTGCGAACCAACTGTAATGATAAAAGTACACAGGTGTAGGCTTTAAGAATGCTTTATTCACCTGAGAATATGAGGTTCGCGTATAGTGTCCTTTTATAGTTCCCAGTAAACAGAAATAGCTCTCTCTCAAAGAGGAGAGTAACGAAACAAGAGGAGACCACTCTTGATTATTCATAACGCTAACTATAAAAAAATCCTTACTTTTTACCATTTTGAGTTAATTCGCAATTAGCCGATGTTTTGTCAACCATTTTAATAAATAATATAGTAAACAAATAGTGTAAAAAATAAATAATCCAATGAAAAGTGCTTATTATTTTTGTTCTCAAGAACAAAGAAAATGTATAAATTCCCTTTGATATGTTACGTTTTTATTACATCGGTTTTAAATCTATAAACATCGCCGAGGAGTGGATAAAAGCGGTGTCTAGGGAAAAACCGTCCTTTTCACAATCCTTCTTATATCGGCATGTTTCTCCATGTTTGCTGAGAAAATAATGGCTTCAGTCGTTAACAAATGTCTAACTGGAAGCTTATCTTGTATGGCCTTCTTTCTTCAACAACGGAATTAAGAATTTCACACATTCTGACACTGCTTTTCTATTTCCCTTCATTAATTTGCAGTTATAAAAATAAATTGTGTGAAAAAAATCATAAAATGGTGGAGACACGTTGAACTAAAATATACAGAAACACGAGTGCGCATGCGTACAAAGAACTGAAGAAATACGAGAAAGAAATTTGCCTTGCAATTCTCTGGAAGAAAGAGAAAAGATAAATTCTTGGTCGTTTTTAAAAAATATTTTAGCCCAAGTAGGGCAATGAAACCACTAAAATGTAAGAGGTTGCTGAGTGTGAAAGAATAAACATTATTAGGAAGCAAGATCAATAAAAGAAGAGTAATCAAGAAAACACTAGATAACGATTGACATTGCATTTAAATTTTTGAAGATCAAAGTTAACAGGAAATCAAAAAGCTGGAAGTGAGCCCCACAAGCTGGAAATGCGAGAAAAAAAACTGTAAGTATAGAACTTGCAGTTAGATCTAGAAATTTCAAATGTAAAATGGTGAGACCTTGCCACCAATCTAGTACTGCACTTAAATTCATAAAGTCTTAGGTACCATCGAGGAAATTCATTAGAACAATTACCATGAAAATATTTATAGAAAAGACACAGCGACGACACATAAAAAAAGTGACTGAAGCTAAGATGCCAAGTCAGTACCAATAACATTGTATATTCTTCTTTCGATTTTATGAAGAACCTCTAAATATATAGCAGGTGTACCAGACCATATGCGGCAGCAATATTCTTAGCGTGGGCGAATGGTAAACTTATAGATATGTAAGATCGATTATGGCGAGAAAAACTGTCTAGTACGACAAAGTGAACCAACTTTCCGAGCAGCAGACCTAACAATTGATTCAATAATCAAAGACATCCGATTATTTTAAGATTCCCTTTTTGGCCAATTTGAGAACATTCCAGAATCCCCTTTTACAAAATAGTAAAACTGATTCTTTTACTAAAGCCATTTATTTCTCTTCAGGACATTGGTGATTATGGCGGGTCATGTTCACTTCTTTTTTTATTATCTCAACGATTTCTTCTGGCCTTCATTTTAAAAGATAACGTCTCTCTTTAAATTCTAATGTGCATGTGTCTTTAAATGCTAAGATATATATGTTCTTTTTTGCTGTTTAAAATTTTAAGTTACAAGACGTCTATCCCCTTTGAGATTTGAAAATCTTAGGTAGAGTGTGAAGAAAGGACTAAACATAAACTACAAAAAAAAAAAACAAAAAACAAAAACAGAATGCAAGGTCATCATGAGCCTGAAAATGCGATTTTCTGTCGGGAACATGGTCAGGATGAGCCCGAAATGCGATTTGCAGTCGGAAACACTAAAATCAAGCAGACGCGGTAGTTTAAATATCTGGGAAGCGTCGTGACAGAGGACGGTAAAAGCGACACTAAGATCCGTAGACGTATTGGGAAGAGCAAGGTCGCATTCCAAAAGCTGGGCTGAGTATTGCGAGACTGGAGGATATCTTTAGTAACAAAGAAAAGAGTACTGAGCTGTTACGGAACATTGCCCCTTTACGGCAGCGAATGTTGGACGATTTCCGCAAAGATGAAAAAGAGACTCGAGGCGCCAGAGATGTGGTTCTCCAGAAGGATGCTAAGGACCAAGTGTGTGAGCAAGGATGCGGTCTTAGAGAGGATGCAAACAAGGAGGTGGCTTATACTTAACATCAGGAAGAGGCAGCTGAAGTTTCTAGGGCACATAATGAGGAAGGAGGACCTGGAGAATCTGATACTCACGAGTCGAATAGATGGAAAGTGAAACAAGGGAAAGCAACGCATGAGATACCTGGCGGCCTTAAGCAACTGGATGACAGAACGTGGTGCCAGAGGGAAGGAACTTGTTGAGAGCTGCAAGGGATAGAGAGGAGGTGGAGGGCCATAATCGCCTACGTCCTGAAAGGACACGGCACATAGAAAGAAAGATTTTATTGCTCTTAATTATAGCTTCGAAAATGGCTCTAAAATATTGACTGCATGTGTGTGATTGTGTACATGGATATTTACATGTGTGTTTGCGAGTGTATTTATATATATATATATATATGTTTTTATTTTAAAGCGTTTCCCTAGAGTTAAAACAGTTTATTCATATCTCGATGAATATAAATATATAATCCGTAAAATATATGATAATCCGAAACCAAACATTTGATAACGGAAATATTGATTTCGTTTCTATAAATATTTGTTTTGGATGCATTAACTGGCTTCAGGTAAGATCATTTAAAATATTTACCTGTGTATGCATTGAAATCTCGACATGTGATGAACGAGAAAGGTGAGATAGGGAGAGTTTTTGACAAACCAGAATAATGGCATAAAGAGAGGTATTAACCAACCGGAAATATGAGATATAGAGAGGTTGGGATAAACCGAAAAGGCGAGATTGAGAGCGGAAAGGCGAAATGGCGAGAGATTGTGACCAATCGGAAACGCGGGATAGAGAGAGAGAGAGATTTTCAGAAAAACACGAAAGGTGAGATTGAGAGGTTGTGGCAAACCGGGAAGGCGAAATAGTTTGAGGTTGTGGCCAACTGGAAATGCGAGATAGAGAGAAGTTGGGACAACCGAAAGGCGAGATAGACAAAGGTTATGGCGAACCGGAGAGGCGAAATAGTTGTGGACAATCGGATCGACGAAATATTTGGAGGTTGTGGCGAACCGGGAAGGCGAGATAGAGAGAGGTTGTAACAACCGGAAAGGTGTGATAGACAGAGGTTGTAACATCCGGAAAGGTGAGATAGACAGAGGTTGTAACAACCGGAAAGGCGAGATAGAGTGAGGTTGTAACAACCGGAAAGGTGTGATAGACAGAGGTTGTAACATCCGAAAGGTTGATAGACAGAGGTTGTCCAACCGGAAAGGTGAGATAGAGTAGGTTGTAACAACCGGAAAGGTGTGATCCAGAGGTTGTAACATCCGGAAAGGTGAGATAGACAGAGGTTGTAACAACCGGAAAGGCGAGATAGAGAGAGGTTGTAACAACCGGAAAGGCGAGATAGAGAGAGGTTGTAACAACCGGAAAGGCGAGATAGAGAGAGGTTGTAACATCCGGAAAGGCGAGATAGACAGAGGTTGTAACATCCAGAAAGGCGAGATAGACAGAGGTTGTAACATCCGGAAAGGCGAGATAGAGAGAGGTTGTAACAACCGGAAAGGTGTGATAGACAGAGGTTGTAACATCCGGAAAGGTGAGATAGACAGAGGTTGTAACAACCGGAAAGGCGAGATAGAGAGAGGTTGTAACAACCGGAAAGGCGAGATAGAGAGAGGTTGTAACATCCGGAAAGGCGAGATAGACAGAGGTTGTAACATCCGGAAAGGCGAGATAGACAGAGGTTGTAACATCCGGAAAGGCGAGATTGTAACATCCGGAAAGGCAGATAGGAGAGGTTGTAACATCCGGAAAGGTGAGATAGAGAGAGGTTGTAACATCCGGAAAGGTGAGATAGACAGAGGTTGTAACATCCGGAAAGGCGAGATAGACAGAGGTTGTAACAACCGGAAAGGCGAGATAGTTTGAGGTTGTAACAACCGGAAAGGTGAGACAGACAGAGGTTGTAACAACCGGAAAGGCGAGATAGAGAGAGGTTGTAACAACCGGAAAGGCGAGATAGAGAGAAGTCGTGACAACCGGAAAGGCGAGATAGAGAGAAGTCGTGACAACCGGAAAGGCGAGATAGAGAGAGGTTGTGGCGAACCGGAAAGGCAAATTAGTTTGAAGTTGTGGCCAACAGGAAAGGCGAAATATTTGGCGGCTGTGGCGTACCATAAAGGCGAGATAGAGAGAAATCGTGACAATCGGAAAGGTGAGATAGACAGAGGTTGTGGCAAACCGGAAAGACGAAATAGTTTGTGGTTGTTACCACCGGAACGGTGAGATAGTTTGAGGTTGTGGCTAACCGGAAAGGCGAGATAGAGAGATGTAGTGACAACCGGAAATGCGAGATTGACAGAGGTTGTGGCTAACCAGAAAGGCGAGATAGACAGAGGTTGTGGCTAGCCGAAAAGGCGAGATAGACAGAGGTTATGGCAAACCGAAAAGGCGAGATAGAGAGTGGTTGTGAGAAACCTGAAAGCCAAGACAGAAGATAAAAGATTGAAAACTAATTACATATTTTTTGAATCCGATAGAAAATAAAAATAGACACTTGTCTTTATTTTTATCTTACTTCGAATTATTGTTCTCATCTTGATTAACGTAGGCGTTATTATAGATACAACATTTCGACAAAGTAATCTCTGGTAATCATCAGGTGTTCATTGATTGACTGATATAGGATATTTGTTGATTATTCTGATACTTTGTCGTTGTATATCAGTTATTGCTCGTCCCTATTGAATTGGTGCATCACTTCCAGATCCAAGGATTTTAACCCATGACCAACTCCTATATCCACTACGCCACCGTGCCGAAGGACATTAGTGCTGTGATTTTGGAGGCTTTTTTTATTTTCGAATTTATTTTTATGATACATATTTTGTTCTTCGTTTGTCTTCGAGAAAAAAATGATTTTCTTTCTTTATCATGCTTTATTTCTGTCTTAGGAATTATTGGCAACTTTTGCAATGTTTGCTTTCTTTCAGGATATCGGAATTACTATCATTCACGTGGACGAAATGTCCAGTGTCTGATTGGTTGTCTTGCACTTCAATGTGAATTGTTTGAACCTACAATGAGAGTAATCAGTGAAAGATAATGGCGGACAGGCGCCAGTATCGGCTGCAGACGATGACGTTTGAAATTGGCATCGAAAATCAATACAGCCGGTATCGATACCAAGATTATTCAGGGATCGATTGGTCATTAGTTTCTTTCTTTTTTTTAATCTCCATTTTTCACTGTCTTTATTCAGCCATTTTGTTTTTTTTTATTTTTCTATTTAACTCCAAACTTTTAGCTTTGCATTCTTTCTTTATCCTAGTCTCTCGTTTCCTGCTTTTTGCTGATTTGTTTTCTCTCAATATGTCCCCTTTTTCTTTTATAGTTTTCTTTTCGTTCTTTCTTTATACTTTTAAATTCCCCTTTCTCTTCTCTTGTCACCATTTCATTTCTTTGTTTAAATCAATCTCTCGGTTTTTTCCCACATTTCTCTTTCCACACTTGGTTTAGAGCTTCGGTTGTTTTCCATCTATGAATATAGTACATAGTTTAAATTTACTATTCATCCAGAATATTCAAAACACTCTTAAAACTTACTTCATTATATTCCATAATATTTACTAATTTCCTAATGTGTATATATATATATATATATATATATATATATATATATATATATATATATATATATTTCTGAAAAATAAAAATTATTAAATCAAAGAAATGAAATAGCGATTTTTTTTGTAGACATTGCCAATTTTTTTCCTTAAGTAATAGCTAATCTTATAAAATGAAACTATCATATTAATATTTGATTATAAATGAAATAGTTTATGAATACATAATTAGATTCTAATATATTAATTTTAACATTATCATATATGTATTCAATTAGTAAATAAATTAAATATAATATCTTAAGTCGGTACGAATAAAAATATAAATATTAAAAATGTGACTAAATAATATTTGAATGCTCCTTTTGAAAAAATCGTAATTGAAATTTATATAAAAACAAAAATTCGATAAAAAATAAAAATGACAATGTATTGTTATTGAAAGCCAGAAGATGTGTTGGAACATAGACACTATCACAAATTTCTACTTGAAAAAAAAGAAGTTTGTGTCAACAGGCAGATACCCAGATACCCCAGACAGATACCTCAGCCACCACCTTGGCTTGACCAACTTGATAGCTACAATAGATTAGATACATGAGTTTTCTAAATAAGATATAATCTTAAAACCCCTAAAATAAAAAAGATGGAATTTTTCTTAACCCCAACATCTCAAAATATCAAATTTGTCTGGACTTATGAATTAAGTGAATCAATTCCAAAAATGTTATTCTTAGCATCGCTTGATAATGGAACGGAACTTTGTATTTAAGTTTAATTTTTATAATTGAATTTGATTTGAAATTTCAGTTTTGAAACATGCGAATTTCTGTGTTGCGATGATAATATATTTAAAAAACGAGCATTGTTTTTAAAATAAAAATAAAATAAATGCAAAGAACTCTGAATTATAAATGTCATTGTTCTTTTCTATTATTTTAATATATATATATATATATATATATATATATATATATATATATATATATATATATATATATATATCGGGTGTAACAACAAAATTATCCAATTGCTGTTTAAGACATGAACCGTTGTATTTTAGAAATGATTAGAGATATCTTACTGGAATTTTCCGATGTTTTTTTTAACACCATTGGACCCTACGTAGAACAATAAGAATGCATAATTACTCTCCAAGCTTAACAGAAGAATCCTGATGAAATCGATCATAAAAGAAAATGACATGTTATTCATTAACATGAATTAATCATAGATCATGAAGGATTGATATAAAGTTCTTATATATATATATATATATATATATAGATATATGATAATTTTTCAACTTAGTCAAGATGGTCCTCGCCCTCTCTAACTCTCTAATATTCTGTCCTGGCGTAAGAAGATGTCACACAGGTTTCACGTATGATTTCAATTTCAAGTCATTTTTCACTGTCATAGCTGAAGCTCTTCTCTGATTGAAAATGATGATCCCTCTTTCTGTTGTGACTTCCTGTTTCAATTTTCTTCTCTACTTCTCCCACTTTTTAAAACTTATTCACAGTTCTCTTGATGGTTCTTGTATAGACTTTGAAGATGAAACCCAAAGTATGAATGTTGGTACCATTACTGAAGCCCTGAATGATCATTTTAGTCTCATCATTTCTCAGTTGGGAAAACAGTGGGCAGACACAAAACTATTTTAACCTGTTCTCTTTCTAGATGAATAACTCAAAAGGGTTTGAAAGTGATTCTTACGACAAATGGCATCAAGATGGCGAAAGGCCTCAACTGAAAACCCAGAAAAAGTAACTTAATTTGTTTAGTGTTTTTTTTTTTTTAGATATTAAACATTTTATGTGATGGACAATTATTCTGTTACACGATTTGGCCAATTGTACTGTTACAACCAGTATATATATATATATATATATTAAGTTGGTGCAAAAATAATGACGTAATAATGTCGTTTTTGACGTATTTTTAAGGTCATTATTACGTCATTATTTTTGCACCAACTTAATATATATATATATTAATATATATATATATATATGATATATATACATTATTAGGTCATTATTTTTTGCACCAACCTAATATATATATATATATATATATATATATATATATATATATATATATATAAAAAAGTGAACATTGAAGTCATCACTTAGAGGCGACAGGCTGTTTCATGCTAGATGAAAATGCCTGTCGCCTCTAAGTGTTGACTTCAATGTTCACTTTTATATTTACACACGCTCTATCTCTGATATTGAGCACTTTAGCCCATAAATATAGCACACCTTAAGACTATATTTCTTCATATATATATATATATATATATATATATATATATGTGTGTGTATATATATATATATATATATATGTGTGTGTGTGTGTGTGTGTGTGTGTGTGTGTGTGTGTGTGTTAATAAAATCTCTATACTGCCATTTATATTTATTAATCTACATCTAAATTTTATACTTCAAATTAAAGTGACAAATCTGGAATCCTTTTTACCACAATTTTTCGAAATATGAAACTTCTGTCCCAGACAGCGCTAAGAAGACAAATCAATCGAATTGAAATCACCACGAATCCTTTCATATGTTATTTAAGCACATTCTCTGCCAGTGATTATTTTCATTTTATATATGATCATTAGCGAAAGAGACAGCTGAAGATGTAAGCTACAGATTAGAGATATCAGAATAAAGCAAGTACAGAAATTGAACTAACAGGGAAGGGTTATAAAAGACGATGGGGAATGTGACACCGAAATCCGAAGATGTATTGGAATAGGGAAATATGCCTTTCTGAAGCTAAGCGAGGTATAAAGAAACTAGGAAAAAAATTATGCAACAATAATCCTTCTGTGTGGCAGTGAACGCTGTAGAATTTCCTCACCGAGACTTGAGGCAACAGAAATATAGCTCTACAGAAAGATGCTGAGAATACAATGCACAGAATATGCGAGCTGCGAGGACATTGCAATGAAAATGTCACGGAAAAAAGCACGTGTTTAGGATGAGAAAGAATGGAACGTATAATGAGGAAAGAGGGCTTGGAGAATTAAACACGCATAAGACATATTGAAGGCAAAAAGAAACAGAGGGAAATGTCGTCTATTCTGCCTCACGAGTTTGCGTAAATGGAATTGCGAACATGAACTGGCAGGGATAAAATTGGGACAAAAATTGCATAGTACCACAAAGGATAGGAAAACGTGAAGAGCCATGATCAATTAGGTCCTGAAGGAACTTGGTCAATAGAAGAAATACATTTTATAATAAAACATTTCCAGTGAGAACGTTTCAATGTGAGCTCGCTACAGGATTTGTCTCACACACAAGCTTCCAGGCGAACAGATCTTTGAGATTAAGGTACCAGCTTACTTTCTTTCGTAAAGCTCTTCGACGTCTGTCATCGTCCAGACTCTGATGCTTGTGAACATCTGGAGCAGTTCTTTCTGCCGCCAACGCATTTAACATTGGTCGTTGTGATTGAAACTCCCTTCAAAGCACATATATCACTAGATCTAGATTTACACATTCTAGATGTCCTTTTATCAAAACCCTCATTTCAGACCTTATTTCAAATCAATGTCGATTCTGGGTGTTGACTTCAGTGTTCATTAAAGTATTATTAAAAATTATTATAACCATCATTTTGACACCTCCTGAAGAGATGCTATGTTGCATCGAAACATTAATGCATTTTTGTAGCGAAATATGCATGTTCGAATGCAATAACCTATTATATATATATATATATATATATATATATATATATATATATATATATATATATATATGATGGACTCTCCCGTCGGTTTCGACGTATGAGGATCTGGCAGCTTAATTGATTCAGTTATGAAATTTTGTGCGATAATCTTAAGTGGCATTTAAGACCCGCTAGTGAGTTACAAAGGAGGCCGCATATGGAGCAAGTGTGAGGATTGTGAGATGAGATCACTGTCAGATTGGCTGACCTTTTAGATCTTGCTCTCACGTTTTGAAGATGATTCAGACAAGCAGATTGAAGCTTGCTGAGTCCACGTTGATCTCCATTCTACCCGTTCCACGGCTAAGCGCTCAAGGGTGTTTTGTGGTATATTGACTGCTGACAAGTTGCTTTTCAGCTTGTCTTTGTATCTTAGCCATGGGCGTCCTACATTCCTATAGCCCTGATCTAATATATATATATATATATATATATATATATATATATATATATTGTTACGTTAACATACTTAGTTTGCTTAAGTGAAGTCCTAAACGACGAAATGCGTCATACAAAACCCTTTTTTAATTTGTCTTTGTATATCAATAACAATTTGTAATTGT